GCCTGTATTTGCAACTAGGCAAGCGAGATGTCGAGTTCACTGTAACGTGTGCTTTCACGAACCACCAGGTCTTCCCAGTCTTCAGTTTCTCGGTGGAAAGTTGGATTGAACGTTTGCCAAGAAGTGCGATTCTTATGCAGATCCTTTTCGGTTCTGTGTTTTTCAAAACGGTTACTTACGGTGATAGCCATTAGCGTCCCCCAGTGTTGATTTGAACAAGCCCACCATCCAGGAGCGAAGTGTCGAAAATGCGGCTGTGTGGAGAGCAGGTCACTTGCGGCCGACTTCAGTCCAACGTCCCAAAAATTGGGGGCCGGAAACCTATGCACCTGCTTCGCACGTTCGCGGAAGTGCTATGCACCTACTATGCTCGTGAAGGCTATGTCTAAACGTGTTCATCAGTGAAGCATAAACATAGTTCCGAAATGCAAAGCTCATACAAAGCACCTACTTAGTGCGAGGAATGTCGAGGTGCATTGCGTTTACATTGTCCATGCTGATCGTCGTGCTATGATGTTGCGCTAGACGTAGCATGCGCTATGCATGTGCTTTGTGTGCTTTCGTCATTGCTATGTTGATGCTATGCAGACACATAGTATTTCAAGCCTGAAGCATTCCCGCCACAATTCATGTTGTTTTATATCTAGTACACTAGGTGCAGTAATTCTGTATTTACATATTCATATAACATCTTGATTGCACAAATAAAAAATACAACAAAATTGAACTACAAATTCAGCACTTCCGTAGCTCGATTTCGGGAAGGTGACAAATCATGAGAACGGGATAAAAGCGGTGACATGGAAGCGGATCCCGTTCAACGGCTATTTCCACCATGCCTTCAAATTTGCTTCATCAAGGTCGTGACTGGGTTCTGTCCACTCTTTTCCAGAGCCCTGCATGCCAGCTGAGTACAGGGCAGAGAATGCAAGGCGACAAGACAGGTAGAAATTCTAACAGCATAATTCAACTTACGGATTTTGGCATACAGTAGTAGTACAATCAAAATCTTGTCCAGCAAACAGGAAACCGGGACCGGAGGGTGAGTTGATAAGAGAAATAGGACGGGAAACGACGGAGTCAGGATACATTCAGACTTACCGTTTAGGCCGCCATGGTGATAGTGCCCGGATCGAGGATCGCGGCTGGTACACCATACGGAGGTGCTGCCTTTTGACATAAGAATTTTCTTGATGAGGAACCTGCAACGAAGTAAGAAAAACCAAAGTTATTAGTCAGCAGAAAGGGGCTGTACTGTGGAACGCTATAAAAACGACGAACGGTATAACTACCGATACGCAGGAACGAAAACGCCACGGCTCCTACTCAGTGCAGTCTTAGATCTAGGAGTTCAGAGTGGTATGAAAATGGAGAAGGAAGACTAGCGGGTGGGAGAGCGAAGTCTAGAAATGAGGAAGAGGGTTCTGAGCACATGATGGGTCATATGAGAAGGAATTGAGACGTGAGGTGAGGAGTTTCCGTGGCTACATATTCTGGGTGTGGGTTGATAAGGGGGTGATGTGGTGGTTGGGGATTGGTCAGAAGTTGGCTGCACAATTTTTGCTGGCTCGACCGTTCTTTGGTACGATACAAAGTGTCTCGTTTCTAAGAAATATGTGTTGCGTCTCTTTTACGGTCACCATAAACAATCGCAAATTGTACAGCTCCCCTACCCAGTTTGTCGAACTGATTTTCCCTTTCGCGAAGCGTGTCGAGTTTTCGCCGAAGCGCGTCGAGTTTTCGCCGACCATATTTTCGCCCATATTTTTTTGAAGCGCGTCGAGTTTCCATTGACCAATTACAGACGAGAAATTTGGCCTCTCTCGTGTTTTCTGATTGGCTGGTACCATATTTGTCCTTGGCCAATCACAACCGACCCAGCATGCTGCTCTTGGCCTAGGCAACCCGTGCTTCTTTGGTATGGTCGTTGGGATGTGGCTGGAATGAAGCGGAAACCTACAGAACGCTAATAATTCACCACGGTAGCGGATAGGTTTAGGTTTGGAGGGCCCGATGAAGCGGGGACATAGGGCCTCTGGACAAAGCCTTTGCCAATGTGGACTTTGCTCCCACGAAGCCTTCGTCCCTGCTTCATTCCCATTTCCTCTCAACCTCGTCCAGGGGGACTTCGTAAACCCTTTGTCACAAATGTCCAACCCAACCCCGATTCACATTTTTGGGATGAACCTGGCTGTGGCAGAACTGGAAGGGAAGAGAAGAGAGCCAGCAATGGGGCCGACTATTGCTGCTGGTACAAGTTCTCGCGTCCATCCGGGCGAATGCACTCACGACACAACGGCCACCAGGGAAGGGATGTGCGAGGTTGCGAAGGTCTCCGTCGTTCCCTCCGCGCACGTACCGTGCATTTCCAATAGAGTCCGTCTTTCACGCAGCGACCGCAGTGTGGCATCGGGTCGAGCCGGGCGATTAATCAGCGATTGCGTTGCATCGCTCGGCGATTGCTTGCCGTAGAATGCCGCCTCACGCAGCGAGTCACAGGGCGACAACGAAAATTCGGCGCCGATCTCGTTAGACTTCCGCATTAGCCAACATCCACAGTACAAGTAGTAGCCTACTAGGACTGAGTCCCCGCGATAGGACCTTTTATCTCTTCAAGAGATCGCTTGTCTCTTGACTTGACGTCCGCCCTCGAAAAGATCGCCGCCCCGCAGACCGCGCATACCCCGACGCGCTTCGAAGCACCAGGGGGCACTCCGAGAACCGCAAAAGGCCGGCGGTCGCGAGGACCGGTCGAGCCGCAAGACTGCAAGTCCAGCGCTAGTCCACCGCTTAGTCCACCGCTAGTCCACTAGTACCGCCGCCGGGCAATCAACTCGCGGGCGATGAGGCGGGCAGTGCGGCGGTGGGACGTGGTGAGGGCGGCAGTGGTGGCGCTAATTGTAGCGCGCTGCTGCATGCCTCTCGCACAGGCTGCACCCGTGCTGCACCCTGACAGTAAGCCGAGCTGGGCCCTGATACTAGAGAGCCGTGCTGGACCCTCGTTCCATTCGCGTTTCTATGTTCGTACCATCCGTCTGTTTTTGAGTCGACTCAAAAATCGACTCATTACACATGTTCGTACCATCCGTCTGTTTTTGAGTCGACTCAAAAATCGACTCATTACACATGTTCGTACCATCCGTCTGTTTTTGAGTCGACTCAAAAATCGACTCATTACACATGTTCGTGTAGAAACTTAAGAGACTTAGTTGCAGCGGAAAAGCACCACGAGAGTAGAGCGTAGTGGGCTTGTAAGAGAGCTCAAGAGTATTGCTTGTAGAGCTTGAGTGTAAGCGTGTAAGTTGGGCTTGTATGAAGGCTTTGTAATTTTCAGAATGATTGAAACAGCAAGTACAATGAGCATTTATAGTCCTAGACCTCCAAAGGGTTGGAGGTTGGAAGAGCATGCAGGAACTTTCTAGTTTAAGCAATTTCTAGAATGTAGTGTTACTAGATTGTTTGTGAGTATTCACGAAACCACTCAACCGAAGGCGGTCCATTCTGATTGGTGGGGAAACTCCCACACAATTCTCGATACTTCCAGTCTTGCATCTTGGTAGAGCACACCCAGAAGCTACTGCCACTTCCGAGATTCCTCTCGCAACAGTTCGTACCATCCGTCTGTTTTTGAGTCGACTAAAAAATCGACTCATTACACATGTTCGTACCATCCGTCTGTTTTTGAGCCGACTCAAAAATCGACTCATTACACATGTTCGTACCATCCGTTTGGATCTCTAACCTGCCAATCCGTCTGCTCCGCCCGCGAACCTCCCATTCTCTCCCACCCTGTGGCTTGACATGCCGCCTGGCGTGGCGTGGCATGGTGGGCTGATTGCCTCTCTCTCTTCTCACTGCATCCTTCTATACCTCTTTTGGTTCCCTAATCCCCTTCTGTGGCATGGATGAATGGCATGGGCATGGCATGGGTGCATGGCATGGGGGCATGGCATGGGTGAATGGCAGTGGGAGTGTTGGAGAGTCTGGCATCTGAATGGAGTGAGGTCAACGGAACGAGCACATGGAGCAGAGGCAGGGATTGTAAGAGCATGGCTCTTGTGCGCTGTGATGGTGACGGGCATGTCATTGCACTGTAAGCATCCATTGCACTGTAAGCATGCCATTGCGCTGTAAGCATGTCATTGCGCTGTAAGCATACCATTGCGCTATAAGCATGTCATTGCACTGCACGCATGTCATTGCACTGTAAGCATGTCATTGCACTGCAATCATGTCATTGCACTGCAATCATGTCATTGCACTGCAAGCATGTCATTGCACTGTAAGCATGTCATTGCACTGCATGCATCAACATGTATCTCCATGGCACGGAATGCCATGGCGGGACTTGGCATGGCTTTTGTGTACGGGTGGTTTCCAATCAGTGAGCTTGATACTTGCGAGGCTGCAGTCCGCACATGGCGGAACTTTCCATGAGATTGAATCCCCGTTTTGGCTACTGACCCGCCATGCCATGCCATGCCATGACGTTTCTCGTGACTGGTCTAATTATTTCGGCCTACTTCCCACACCGCCCTCTGCTTCTCCCCTTTCCACACCACCCCTGCTACACTTCTCTTCTCTCCGTTCCTCCCTCCTTTCCTCCCTCCATTATTCTCCCTTTTCTTCCCTTGTTCTGCCCCCAGCAACGTAGTCTATGACTACAGTGCAATCTCCTTGCCAGAGTCCATCACGGGCTTCTCGCATCTCACAAGGCTGTAAGTGCCATGGCATGGCAAGGCATGGGATAGCAAGATATGGGATGGCGGTAGGCGGTTCAATTGGTGGGTTAGAACTAGACATGGTTAAATTGCGATGCGATATAACCATGTCTTGTTAGAATATGGTCGAGAAAGCGGTTTGCAGAATTCCCTGCTTCCATGCAGCAGCCTTCCCCCATCCACCCTACTTCTGTTTCCTGGTAAGGCTACTACTGCCTTCAACACTTCCCTTCCCACAGGTCCATCACGAACAGCTCCCTCATTGGCTCCCTGCCCTCTGCTCTCTTCGCCATGCCGAATCTCAAGCACCTGTGAGACTCCCGCCTATGCCACTCCCTCCCATGCTACCATCGCCCTCCCCACCCTCCCCACCCTCGTTTCCATCCCCACCGCCCCCATTCCCTCCCCCAAGCTGCCTTGACTGGACTGCATATCGAGAACCAACAGCTTGCTGCCTTTGTGGTTTTCAGGACTTGCATGCTTTTGGAGTGAAGGGTCCTTGCTTATATAGCCGTATCGTGCCGTGCCAAAACCGTTCTTCCCTTGTCTTGTCTTGTTTAGTCTAGGCCATTTTGGGTGTGTCTCACCTTGTCATCAGCATTCTTAGATGCCGAACCTGCCAGTTCATCTTTCTCCCATGGTTGCTCCCTTGTGATGCCGCATGCTGCCTGCATGGATGAGACGCACGGGGACATGGGCGGAGTTGAATGGATACGGATGCATGTGTGATGGGCGTGTGCTCATGATGCATGTGTGCTCATGATGCATGAGTGCTCATGATGCATGTGTGTCATGATGCATGTGTGCTCATGATGCATGCGTGCTCATGATGCATATGTGCTCATAATCCATGTGTGCTCATGAGGCCTGTGTGCTCACGATGCACGTGTGCAGTAATCTCAGTCATTGCATACTCTCAGGCAACATCCCTAATGCAGTAGGCCTTGCAACAGGCCTCCAGACCCTGTCAGTTCATGCATCCATGCATCCATCCGTCTGTCCATCCATCCATCACTTGTTCCACAAAACCAGCAAACACGCCATTGAGTCCTCTCCTGTGGCTTCCACCCCCTTTTCCATCCACTTATCCTAGAATATTCTGACCCTCACGCTATCAATCCATCCATCCTTCCATGTATTCATTGCCCCTCGCCCATGGTTCTGTGTGTTCCCTGCAGGGATCTGTATTACAATCAACTCCAAGCCCTCCCCGCTTCCCTGGGAAACCTCACGACTCTCACGCACCTGTCAGTCCTCTCACACACCTCGCACTCTTACAGACATTTTCCTGTTCTTCCTCTCAGGCCGTCCTTTATGTTCATTGGAAACCTGGGTACGGAGTTAGGCATGTGGGCCAGGTATAAGCATGCATCCTAATCCCCCCCCCCCCCTGATAGCCTACGCTGCTGCCTCCTCCTCTCTCTCCCCTTCCCACCTTCTACTGCCTCTCACCCGGTTCCGTCCGTCCGTCTGTCCGTCCATCCATCCATCCATCCACCCACTCACCCACCCACCCATCCACCCATCCACCCATCCACCCACCCACCCATCCACCCATCCACCCATCCACCCATCCACCCATCCACCCATCCATCCATCCATCCATCCATCCATCCATCCATCCATCCATCCATCCATCCATCCATCCATCCATCCATCCATCCATCCATCCATCCATCCATCCATCCATCCATCCATCCATCCATCCATCCATCCAGCCACCCACCCACCCAGCCACCCACCCAGCCACCCAGCCACCCAGCCACCCAGCCACCCAGCCACCCAGCCACCCACCCAGCCACCCAGCCACCCACCCACCCATCCATCCATCCATCCATCCATCCATCCATCCATCCATCCATCCATCCATCCATCCATCCATCCATCCATCCATCCATCCATCCATCCATCCATCCATCCATCCATCCATCCATCCATCCATCCATCCATCCATCCATCCACCCATCCATCCATCCATCCATCCATCCGTCCATCCGTCCGTCCATCCATCCATCCATGTTTGTGATGTTTTTGTGTGTGGCCTGCAGTGGTTTGGGCCACAACAGCTTTTTGGGCACCCTCCCCGCCTCTTTGAGCAGACTTTCCTCTCTCGTGCACCTGTCAGTCTTCTCATGCACCCTCGGTCCTATCATGCACCTCTCACCTCTCCCTCACCTGCCTCAACACCGCTCTCACTCTGTCGCCCAGGCTTCCCTCCCCACCATCGACTTGCTCGCTTCTGCAATCCTACTGCACAAGTCCAGTTCCCCCTTCTCGGGTGCAACAAATCCAATCCACCCCACACCGGCAACAGCCCACACCAGCAACAATCTGCAAGCTCTTCTCCCTTCATCCCCCTCCACTGCTTCTGACACTCCTCTCCTTCTCCCTGTGCCCAAACTCCTGCCCTCCTCCTTTTCTCCCCTTCCCCTCTTCTCCCCGCGCCTGCCATCGTCCCAATCATGACACAGCTCAGCAAGCCACAATGTTCTCAACGGTTCCATTCCCCAAGTGCTGAGCAATCTGCACCGCCTCACATACCTGTGAGTGTGCATCGGGGTGAGTGAGGCAGATGGGCAGGCTGAGAGGATGAGAGGGAAAGAGGGTAAGAGGGTAAGAGAATAAGAGAATAAGAGGGTAAGAGGTTTAGAGGGTAAGAGGTTAGAGGGTCAGAGGGTAATAGAGCACCTGGAAGTTACTCATACTGAGGATGCTCCAATGGCTTCACTCCATTCGTAGCTCCTGGCAGCCCATCTGCTCACTTGCCCCTCCCCACCGCATCTCACCCCTGTTTCTGTCCTTCCATCCAATTTTCTGCTGCTGCTGTCTCATGCTTCTGTGTGCTGCCTGCAGTGGTTTGAGCCACAACAAATTTTCTGGCTCCCTCCCCACTTTCTTGGGCGACCTCTCTTCTCTCGTGCACCTGTCAGTCCCCCTCTGTTCTATCATGGACCCTCGGTCCTCTCATCTCACGCACCCTTGGTCATATCTTGCACCTCTCAGCACTCCCTCATCTGCCTCAACACCTAGCCGCTCTCACTCTGCCACCCGTCTTTCCCTCCCCACCATCTACCAGCATCTGCATTCCCACAGCACAAATCCAATCCACCCTGCTCGGGTGCATCAAATCCAATCCACCTCACACGAGCAATAGCCCACACCGGCAAGCCCACACCAGTTGCCGCAAGCTAGCTCCTCTCCTTTCACCCCCCTCCACTCCTCGAGACACTCGTCTCCTCCTCCCTGCTACCCAACTCCTGTCCTCTTCCCCCTTCTCCCCTCCGCTCCCTGCCCTCTCCCCTCCTGCCATCTCCCCTCCCTGCCAACTCCCCTCCCCGCCTGCCATCGTCCCAATCATGCCACAGCTCAGCAAACCGCAACGGCCTCAACGGTTCCATTCCCCGAGAGCTGGGCAATCTGCACCGCCTCACATACCTGTGAGTGTGCATCGGGGTGAGGCAGATGGGCAGGCTGAGAGGGTAAGAGGGTAAGAGGATAAGAGCACCAAACCTATGAAGCTACTCGGACTGATGATGGCTCCTCCTTGTACATAGCCCCTTGCAGCCCATCTGCCCAATTTCCCCTCCCCACCGTCTACTACCTCCCTCCCACCCCTGTTTCCGTCCATCCGTCCGTCCATGAATCTTCTGCCCCTTTCCCATGTGTCTGCTGCCTGCAGCACCTTGGACGACAACAAATTCTCTGGCTCCCTCCCCGCTTCCCTAAGCAACCTCTCCTCTCTCGTCCACCTGTCAGTCCTCTCATGCACCCCTCAGCACTCCCTCACCTGCCTCCACACCTACCTGCTCTCACTCTACCTCCCACCTTTCCCTCCCAACCATCTACCTGCATCTGCAATCCTACCACACAAGCCCAACCTACCCCGCCCGGGTGCATAAAATCCTATCTACCCCGCTCGGGTTCATCACATCCAATGCACCCTGCTCGGGTGCATCAAATCCAATCCACCTCACACCAGTAACAGCCCACACCAGAAACAGTCTGCAAGCTCTTCTCCTTTCATCCCCCTCCACTGCTTCTGACACTCCTCTCCTCCTCCCTGCACCCCAACTCCTGCCCTCCTCCCTCTTCTCCTTTCCCTGCCATCTCCCCTCCTGCAATCGTCCCAATCATGCCACAGCTCAGCAAGCATCAACGATCTCAACGGGTCCATTCCCCAACAGCTGGGCAATCTGCACCTCCTCACATACCTGTGAGTGTGCGTCGGGTTGAGGCAGATGGGCAAGCTCTCCTCTAAAAAGTTGGGTAGGGCAGCTGCAAACTTGGTTCTCCCGACTATTTCGAAAGTACGTCTATGAACTAGTCTAAGAACTAGGCAAAATTATGACAATGTATGAAAGGCAAAATTCACTAACAATAGCCACTTACAAGCCTCCGGACGCACGCGTTTCGGCGGTCAAGCCTTCACCAGCGTCCTGATTCTTACTAGACTTGCAATTGATCTACCACTAGCTTCTTCTACCAAACAGTGATGTGTCCTCTACGTCACCTAGCTCCAAGTTTAAAACAGGGTAGGTATCCATACCGACGACGGCTCCATACTGACGACGGCTCCATACTGACGGCGGCTCCACTCCATTTATAGCCCCTGCCAGCCCATCTGTCCCTTGCATCCTCTCTGCCCTCCCCCATCCCTACCGTACTCCAGAGTCCTCAACAAAAACCGCCTAAAACAAAAGACAGAGCATTGTAGAATTTTGATCGGACGGGGAACATTTACCACAAATCGGTACGGGTATGAAACGATGTTTTACGTATTGGATCTGGGGCGTCTTGATGTCGCCTTTGAGTTGAACGATTTCGTTTAGAAATGACGGCGCTATGACGGTTTGATTGACATGAGGTTTAGGAGCCACTAGAGCCTTAAACGACGCACAAACGACGACTTGACACCGACTAGCGGAAACTCGCTAGTATTTCGATCACTCACAAACGACATTGTGATGCACCATTCAAGCACAATCACAAGCACCATATAAAATTTCCATAGGCTCACACGTTGTTCCTTCCATGCTATACATTTCACTCACAAAAAAGGACAACAAGTCGAGTGCAATCCATGTGGTTGCACCAATAGAGACTGTCAGCAACCTCAAGCTGCCACGACAGTTGTGAGTGGCCATGGGGCAACGAGGTACTCCCTGGAATAATCGATCCGAGTGGGCAAAATTGTGATTGAGATAGTGGGCGTTTAAGCGCGTGAGTGACTGAGTGATTAGGAGTCTATTTTAGAGGCGCCTCAAAAATGGGCAGCGAGGTGCTCCCTGCAATGATCAGAGTGGGCAAATTTGTGATTGAAATAGTGAGAAATTAAGTGTGTGAGTGACTGACTGATTGGGTGAGTTAGTGGAGGCATTCCGGTGGGCTAACTAATGGTCCGGCTGTCACCACAAACCCATCAACAGCGTGACAATGGTGACGCGTTGGATTAAAACATGGAACAGGTGGGTTTTGAGTCGGCTCAAAACACGCCTCTGCCTGCCTCAGCATGCAGCATCACTCTCTCAAACACGAGGTGCCTTAAGGCCTCTCCCACTGCTGCCTCTCCCGCTGCTGCCTCCCCCGCTGCTGCCTCTTTCCTCGCTCAATCTGTTCCTCCCCTTATCTGCCTTCCTCTCTTATATCTCACTGCTCGTCCCTTCCTCCCACCCAACCCCTTCCCTGCTTCATCCTCCCGCTGCTGCCCTCCCTTCCATCTTGCACCGGGCAACACGACATCGCACTGAACCACAATGCACCACACTGCACCACACTTCACCGCACTTTACTGCTCTGTGCCACACGTCATTGCAGGATCCTCGCCTACCAAACGCTCTCAGGGCCAATCCCCGAGTCAATGGGAGCCCTTACCAACCTGGAATATCTGTAAGGAAGAAGAGTGAGGAACGCTGGGATGGGGCATTTTCAGCTTCCAGTGACCTGGACTTGATCAATCAGATGACCTAGCTTGTAAGCCCCTACAGTAATCACAGCAGCAACAATGCTGGTAGGAGGATAGACTGGATAACGATCAAATCCATGTGAAACGTGCAAGGCAACCAGAATGGAAATATGCTCTGACACGACCACATGCCGTCCCATCCCATCCCATCCCATCCCATGCCATGCAATTTCACTGCAGGAACCTGAAGTTCAACAGGCTGACTGGCACCATCCCTGCCTCCATAGCCAACCTCACCCGCCTCACTGAAGTGTGCGCCCATTCTCCCTCCACCCTCCCACCTCTCTCCCTTCTCCCTCCACCCTGCCCCCTCTCTCCCTTCTCCCTCCACCCTCCCACCTCTCTCCCTTCTCCCTCCACCCTGCCCCCTCTCTCCCTTCTCCCTCCACCCTCCCACCTCTCTCCCTTCTCGCTTCACCCCCCAACAACTCTCCCTTCTCCCTCCGCCCTCCCACCTCTCTCCCTTCTCCCTCCACCCTGCCCCCTCTCTTCCTTCTCCCTCCACCCTCCCACCTCTCTCTCTTCTCCCTCCACCGTCCTACCTCTCTCCCTGCCCACTTTCCACCTGCCACTCGGTGCCAAGCATAGGGGCAGGGAACTGTACACCCTGTTTGCTCTTCGAGTGGATAAGCGGGGGATAAGGGAGGAGGGTAGATGAAGAGAAGGGAGAAGAGAGCAGGGAATAGGAGATGAACAGAGACTTTTCTTTGACAGCGATATCTGATGCTGTTGTGGGTGTGTGTCGGCTACTCAAAGCTCGCACCTCTCACCAAATAGCTGTCACACTGATGCCCCCTTCCGCTTCCCAGGAACTTTCCCTGCTCTCGTCTCTTTTCCCTTCCATATGCATCCATCCGCCCCTCTCCAGATATCTCTCCTACAACTTCCTTGCAGGGTCAATTCCTGTTGCACTCACCACACTCACTAATCTCCAAGAACTGTAACTATTACCCTTATTACTGTAATATAGCGATGCTCTTTGTAAGTCCTCTATAATTAATGCCACCCTTACAGATCGCATCTGTTCATTTTCCGCTACTGTAACCACCCACCTCGTCCCCTTTACTTGTCGAATGAGTGGGCTCCACTCATTCTCTCCCATGCTCTGCTCAACCTTGCCACCAATTACTCTCCATGTCCATCCGTGCCTAGAACTTCGTAAGTTCAAAAGTGATAAGCCTCGTCCTGCTGAGCCCCTCTTCCCTCCGCTCCTCTCTGTCTACCATAAGCACTGACTTCAACAAAATAACAAAGCTAGGAATGTATGCAAAGCTGACGTACTGCCCTTCTCTCCCCTTTCTCTTCCTTTCCACTTCCTTCCCTCCCAAATTCTCTTACCTCCTCACTCTCTTCACCCCTTCTTGCCGCCATTCCCCTTCCCCACCAACCCTTTCCCGCCCACCTCCTCCTCTCCCTCCTTTTCCTTGTGCTCACAGCTCCCTTGAGCACAACCAGCTGGCGGGATCCCTTCCATCCTTCCACCACTTGAGCCGCCTCGGCAGGCTGCACGCCAGAAACAACTACCTCACAGGCAGAGCAGCGCCGTTTCCTGAATGCCTCTCCCCAAATCGCACCTCCGCCTGCCCCAATGACTGCCTCTACCCCCCTACTGAGTCCGACATCCACGGAAACTGCCTTGCCGAGTCTACTTTCTCGTGTGACGGGTGGCAGAGGAGTAGCCACGACTGCCGGTTGTTCTGTGGGGCCCGGCCGCTCACCCCGCCCTGCAGCGGCCATGGCGTGTGCTCCGTTGAGCCAGGCCACCATGACGACACGCCTGCATGGGGGGCACAGTGCACGTGTGATGAGGGCTACACGCAAGGGACTGCTGCTGGCACTTGTGTCCCACGAGGTAACGTGAGAGCAGACCAATGCTCTTGCTAACTGCTGAACTGTTTCTCTTCACCTCAGGGCCATTAGCTCTTCCTCGCTGCATTCTGTTATGTTCCACTTTACTGCTTGCTTCTCCGAAGTTCCCGTCTACAGATACCGTGCTTACCTGCCCTGCCGGCACCAATCCCTCTCTTCACACCCACTCTGTGCCCCAGCAGGTCCTGCATTTCTGTTGGCGCTGCTGCTTGTGCTGCTGCTTCCACTGGCGATGCTGCTGTTGCTGGCCTTCGCACTGCCGCGGTTTCTGAGGTGTATTAAGAACCGACCCCGGCCTCGCTTTTTCTTCTCAAAGAGAGCCCTGGCTGCACGGCAAGCTGCTTTGAGCTTAGAGGTTGCTTGATAGGCAGACGGCAAGCAAGCAGACGAGAGGCGTTCATGGCCATCCGATTCAGTCAGACCCCCTCCCGGTTACCGTTTGCATTGCGTTCCCCGCCCTTTCGAGAGGCGCTTCGCTGGTCTAGAGCGAAGCACTATGATGGCGCTGAACAGTGGATGGCTTAGATGTCTGTGAGTGGAATGGGGAATACTTTTTCCAGCCATTATGGATGTTAATCTGCTTGTACTTACACGGCTTCCAAGATCCACCACCACGGAGCAGGGCCCAAAATTGGTTTTAGGTCACTCTTAGGAATCAGAGTGCCTCAAAAATTTTACCCTGCCTGTCAGAGTACAATTTTCCACAAGTTTGATTCAGCAGGGTAGAAAAATTTGCACTCTGGGGTCTCAGGGTAGAAAAAAGCAGGACCCTGTTGCGCGTTCTTAAATGCACAACAAACAATCCTAGCTACGTTACATGTCAATAATCAGCATGTGGAAGTCTAACTTTCTTAACATCCCTGGAAAATCACAAACGCTCTACTCTACTCTACCTACAGCATACTAGGATCCTCTAGGGGAATTGGGTCAGTCCTTGTGGTGCCTGCATCTGCAGAAGGCGCAGCTTGATTTGGGTTGGCAGAACTCAAGTCGCACAGAGACCGCCGCCGCTTCTCACCTCGGAAAACAGCTACCACATCAACCAGTCAATCTGAGCGAGCACCGCATCAAGTCGCTTAGGCTGTCATTGCCAAGGCACCCACGGGTCCATGTCTTGATCAGATTTTACTTCGAGAAACCACATTCGCACTCCACTGTGCTGAGGGGGAGCACTGCCAGTGCCTGCCATAGCCTGAGGATGTTGGATAGCCCCGTTGCCACTCATTGTTGTCCAGGGTCAAGGTGAGCCCCTGCTGAAACTCGTCATCTTTGTACTGCGAAACCATGGCCGCAGTAAACACCCACAGCTCCTTGAGGGCCTTGTTGTAGTCGAAGCCTGCAGGATGGTGGGTTGGGACACGGAGGATAGAAAATAGTGAGCCTTAGGAGGGAAGATGTGCAACGAAAGTTGCTGCAAGTGGAATGTGCGGACTGCAGCCTAAGAACGGGCACGCAAGCATAGGCAACAACGTGCACAACAACATCAAAGCCACACTCCCATTTCACTTGGGAGCTTTCCATCAAAGAGGTTGTGGGACTGCTTCAGCCACTGCTTGCATCTCGCTAGGCGCAGCTCGTCGTCCCGTGGATAGGTCTTGGCTTTAAAGAGCTTGCATCCTTCCACGTTAGCCAGGTCCTTCAGGCGGGCGCGGACGTTGGTGACGACATCGATCGAATGCTTCCGGCAGACTTTGTGCGCAGGAGTCTAGGTCGCTCTTGGTGTTGTGCCCCTCCACCATCCGCTCATGCAGCACATACTCGAACGCCTGAGCGTTCCCCTTGGAGTCAATACCTTGAACGCGGACGCGATGCTGGTCGGGGCTTCCGTGACGCTCCAGGAACTTCCCGAGCTTCTCACTGCCGTTCCCGAAGAAGAGACCACCGCCGCACTTGACGTAGTGGTCGGTGATGCGGTTGCACGTGTTGTCCACCACTCTAGGCCATGACAGTGAGATCCACCAGTAATGGAAACACAGGGATAAGGTGAAAACCAATTAGGGCACCATGAGCGACTTGGGAAATAAACGTGCTGCATGCTAATGCGCCAAAATACAAGCACATGGTACGAGCGACGTTCAACGATGAGACGAGTGTCATACCTGACGCTGCTGGAAGCGGGTGTTAAGGTGATTCAGCTCCTCTAGTATGTCGACGAGGTATTGCAGCATGAACTGCACCTTGAATGATGTCACAACCCCGAAAAGACCGCCGGGGTGATCACGCAGCAAGACGATTGCAGCCAGCAACACTTCAACAAAGCGGATAACCTCCTCTCCACGCGACATCCAACGTACAGCGTGGATCCCTTGCATCTCCAGATTGGTGTTGCAGAACACCAGCTGGAAGTTCTTGAAGCTAAGATGATGATTGTTGGAGCGACTGACAAGCTCGGTCAAAGCGCGGATTAGCATGTCGATGATCTGTTGCCACTGAAGAACGTAGCGAAAAGGATGAGATGCTTCCCATGTACCCGGTCTATGCTTTCATCGATGGCGATGCCGACGAAAGGGGAGCTGAGGATGTGGTGGGATGTTCATCGTTCAGGTACTCAGAAATCACCTTGGTCCCTTGCTTGAAGCCGTAACTGGTAGGGGGAGATGGAGATGGATAGGCTACTGGTAAGAAAGTTGGGGAACCGGAAGGCACAAGCGAGGAATTCATGGCGACGATCGATGCGTGCAGCAACATGCAATGCATTGACGTACGACTTGAGAATTGGATAGCAAAACTCACTCCGTGTAGTAGGTCCCATAAGCCCCACCCTGCGGGAGATCCGGTAAGCCCTCAGACGCGAGGAAGTAGCACCCCAGGCGACTCCGTTTTTGCTCCGGATGGTGTCCGATTGGGGCAATACCCCACCTGGGACACCGCGAACCAAAATGACATGTGACAGTCGCAGCGAACACAATCTGACGACAAGCGAATTTAATTTTTTTATGTCCAATCTTAACGCGCGAACAACTCTGAGCGACCTCATGCACGAAAACAATTACCAGCACCCAGGACCTGACTTAAATATTGAAATTGGTGATATTGGAAGATAATCACACAAATGCATATCGAAATGCCATCAATTTTGTTGAGGCAACACTTTCGGGGGCAAGTGAGTGAACAAAAAGAACCAGACCATCATGTAGACCACAAATTGTGACGTTCGCAATGTCGCCCAGGGTCGTGGGTGTTGTTCGCTAAGGTCATGGCCGGTTACTCCGAATTGTCCAGAGTTTGGAACACGTGTCCGGGCACGTGTAGACACGTCACGGCGGCCCGAATCGCATGGTAAACTTTGGATGGTGTCCAACTTCAGACCGCAATCTCTGTCGAGCTTGTATGTTGCCAAAGTTCTCTGAGATTAGCCAACGTCAGCGAGGCGAGATTTCAATGATGGTGACAATCCCACTTGGCTAGGCGAGAATAACGAAAGTGTCATCCAATCAAAGCATGTACTATAGCTGGCCCAAATTTTTGGGGGCGATAACTCGTAAAATGTGTTTGCCCATACAAGTACGGTGTACACGTCAATCACATTTATTTTCACTTCGCAGGACACAACAAAGCCCCTCGCTTTCGGACTCGCCTCCAACGGTACTCGGCGTGAAACATGCAAAATTTTCAAGTTCCCGTGTGTGTGTGTGTGTGTGTGTGTGTTAAAACTGGCCGGGGGGGAGGGGAGGGGGGGGGGCTAACCCCGATTCCTCATATGTGGTAGCAACTCCGGTTGTACTCGTTGGACCCTGAGAAAATCAGACTCGCTGACTTCTGGACTCTGCCGTTTCATACTACCAAAAATTTGGCTGAATGCCTTTTAGACATTTTTTTTGTTGGGGGGGGGGGGGGGGGGGGGGTGAGTGCCTTTTCCTAAAACGTCAGGCCTGGGTGGAATTCCCTTGCCCCTGATTCCGCTTCTTTGACTCTTCTAGGCATTCTGACTTGCGGTGTCCTTGCATGTTACACCCGAAACAGCGACCTTTGAAGGCTGTAAATGCTGAGTTTTATGTTGTAACAGCGTGTACAGTGGCACGCTCGATTGGTCCCCGAGTGCGACTTCCGTCATAGGAACTCGCCCTTGGTTTGTAGAACGAACCCAACAGCTCAGCAATCCTTTGTGCCTCCATTAAATCGGTGATTTCTTGCACTTGTAATTCTTGGCGCAGATCCAGTCGAAGTCCCCCGATGTATCTATCGAATTTTCCTTCAGGGTGAATGTAGCCGACCTGGTCGCATAGATTCTTGAAGCTGCTAGTGTAGTCCTGAACCAATATGAGTTGGCGCCACGTGCGAAGGCGGTTGCATGCTTGACCGTTTGCATTGACGTGTTCGAAGCGGTGACGAATTCCCGTGCACCACAATTGCCACATGCTGCACTCGTCCACCTCGCAATAACTTTTTGCCCAGTGATTGGTTGTGCGAAAACGCCCGATCACGTGTGGCATCGTATCCGGCTCCTACAACTGAATCATCTGCTACCACCAATCCATTGCTGATCCACGTAGGATCAAAACGGCGTATCGGGTTTTTTGCTCATTGTTGGCAACAAGGTTGCAGTCATACAAGACATTCAGATGGAAAATCCATCCACTGACGGACAAGCTGCCACGCTGGCTTGGGTCGAATATGGGCGACCTCAGTGTCTTGAGAATTCCTGGCGCCATATTGATATTTGCAGTTTGCAGGTCGGTGGAAGTGGTGAGTAGGGGCGACAAGTTGATGTTCGCCCATTCGCCAACTTCCGTTTGTCCAATGACTCGTGGTGGATTGTTCGTCGAACCCTCGGGCAAAGCCGCATGTGGTCGCTGATTGCCGCCAGATATTTCGGAACTCTGCCAGGTTACGTGCTTCTGTTGTTCTTGGTTTGTCGTTGGCGGGATCGTGTCATGTCGTGTCTTGGGCATCCCACTCTTAAGTGCAGATATCTGAGATTCAGCTTGGGCCGTTTCAGCTCGCAGATGCGCCAACTCCTGCAGATACAACTCATGAGCGAGACAGACTTCTTCGAGTGCTGTCGCCCATTCTTCAGAAGTCATGGCGTGAGACGACGACAGATCCACCATTTCGCGGAAAGTTTTGGGCGGCTTTTAGCACACTGGCACTGCCACTGCCGTCGCTGCAGCCGATGTCGCTCCAACCACAGCCGCCATTGCTACAGCTGCTGCCGTCGCCTCCAGCAGCCGCCCCTGCTACAGCCGCCGCCGCCGCTCCAGCCGCTTCTACCACTCCAGCCGCTGCTGTCGCTATAGCCACCACCGCTGCTACGGCCACCGCCGCCACTTCAGCTGCCGTTGCCACTACAGTGCTCCGCCCCTCACTCCTCCTTGTTTCCTCCCGCTACTGCACCGCTACAGACACTGCAAATTGATGTTTGGGGCCCCGCCCCGGTCGTTGGTCCGCGCAGGGAGCGCTACTTCGTGGTTGTTGTTGGCGACTCCGTTACACCACGGAGTTCCAAATTTAGCGGAAAGCCAATGTGCTTGACGCCCTCCTCCCATAGCTCCGCGTCATCCATACCCAGTGCTCCCTACCCATTCTAAGTTTTCACTCTAACCGTGGTGGCGAGTTTGCCTTCGGCCATCTGGGAGCGTTCTGCTGTGTAGAGAGCATCACCTAGACCTTCAACCTACCAAACTCGCCACAGCAGAATGGGGTAGTTGAGCAAAACATCGGCCTAGTTATGGAGGTG